TCCTGTCGCTGCTAACAGAGCATGTTTAAGCTTGTGGCTCGGCTCCAGGAAGGTTTATCGTCTTGGAAATACTTGTAACCGCTGAGGTTACATCATATAAAAGCCTGAATTAGAGAGATAGATAACATTATAGTGTAATGGCTCAACATACAAATCCATGTCCCTATCAATCAAGCCAATTAGGTGACCGTCCAAACTTGAGTCTTGGAAGCTGCACATGCATTTTTCAAGGTAATTTTTTTTAGGAAAAATGTGCATCTTGTAAGTCAGAAAATATGGTACTTCAATTCTCCTGACAATCAATTTTCTCTTGACGTATCGCTTCATAATTAACTCCCAATCCTTGATAACTGGAATGTTTGCTACTTGCCATCATTGGATATGCGAATAAGAATTTGGTCAATCTCAACACTTATTTGTTTTTTTTACAGTTTATTAACCTTTAGCAGGTTATTTAATGCAAGAAAATATTCTTAGATTGTCAGCATTTTTTTTTTAGGTAATAATGATTTATTGATACACGTCCTAATAATTAACCCATAGCTTGGGGGAAAAGGGATGGATTTGTAGCTTTTCTAAGGGTATTTTGAACATAAATGAATATACTGAATTGGAATTACAACTCAACCCTCCAATTTCCAATTCCGAACTATTATCCAACGGCATTTATGTTGATGCTATGATTTATGTTTTTAAAAAGGCATCATGTTATGCTCTAAACCCATTCCCCTAAAATTCTATAACAACTCGTCACAAAAAGGAGTTTAACTCAATTTCTACTTTTTGAGGCTTCTGATATTTTTTTTTTAACATTTTTACTCTACAATTAGTTGAGCCCATACAATAGAAGTGAAATTCACTGATGTAAAAGACAAACTGTCTTCTAAAAAAATACAGTATATAGTCAATTTATTTCAGGTCTTTATCAAGTCTGGTCTTGTATAGAAAAAGGGGAAATTTGCTTTTTAATCCCTGCAATAAGTATCTAATAAAAATTTCCTATTCAGAAATTTTATTGTCAATAACTCCAAAATAATAGATTTTATCAAAATTTCTTTGCTGTTTTAGAATTAAGCATTTAGACTTAAATATTTAAATGTAAATGCACATGCTTAATTCTAAAACAGCAAAGAAATTTTGATAAAATCTATTATTTTGGAGTTATTGACAATAAAATTTCGCACTCATTTGCATGGCAGCCATTAGTGGCATAGTTTGCATACATTCACTGCTGATTAGATTTGCACAGAAGATTACTTTGTTAATGGCCTTTTTACAGCTCTTTCTTGTCTCTATTACAACACAACAGAGGACACATTGTATGTGCAATCATCAAGATAAGTTAATGTTAATTCCACAGAAAATATATGCAAACAATGCCAGTAATGGCTGCTGCAACGCAAATGAGTCTGAACTTCTATTGTCAATAACTCCAAAATGATAGATTTTATCAAAATTTCTTTGTTATTTTTTAATTAAGCATGTACATATACATTTAAATATAACTATTTGGGAAATTTTTATTCCATACTCAGGGAGGGGCTTAAAAAGCAAATTACCCAAAAACGATATAGATTTGATAATGGTAAGCTTAGACATTTCCTTATAAGGAAATAATTGACATCCACTGGTCAAACAATGAGTATCATTGTCAGTTGAAATTCATAAAATCTTTTTCTTAAACGAGTATTTTCAGGAAATTAGAATCACTGCTTTCATTCCTATTTCAGATGAGACTTTTTTTTAATCATTTCACCCCAAGCAAGGTGATAATGCTCCTGAGATGCATTGATGGTATTACTGGGAGGTTTGGTTTGTTTTGCAGCATATAGAAAATAGTTATCAATCTTTCTAGTAGTGATGTAGGTTTTCTTCCTAACCTTTTGTTCAAAGTAGTGTGGAATATCAACATTGTGATTATGTCATTATTAACTCTTCAAGTTATATGTGCTATCAATTTTAGCAGTTGTTACTTTTTCAAATGACATGGCTTCAGTTATTTGGTAAAGGTCTTTGTGATTTTGTAGTGCCAGTCTACGAGATCTGATAGAACTACAGGATTCATTCACTTGAAGCCATTTTTAATCACTGATCTGAGAAAGCTATTGTATACAGCTGACATTTCAGACATTTCTGAATGAGTTTGATACTGTGCATGACAGCCATATTAAAGTCCCGATCTGAAGATGACTTGAGTTTTCAGATTAATATTTTGGTTTTGTAACATCTTGTGGCGTTGGACTAAACCAGTGCTTCCCAAACAATATTGGGCCACACCCCACTTTGGTATTTCTAAAATTCCGGTTCCCATCTGTAATATTTAATTCTTATATGTTCAAAGTTTAATGGTAATTCACACAAAGGAAACAAACTGAATTCTCACACACACTGATTGGCCAAAAAAACATGGGCTCTTCCAGCGACATGCATCACACCCTCTTTGTTGCCTGAGATATAAGAGAGTGGGGAGACAGGAAATACACTGTATGTCAATTACACATGTGCATACATACACATAAAATATTTTTATGTATGCATACTGTATATACATTGTATGTATTAACATGCATTAATATTAACACTCTCAATGAGACTCACTAGAAAACAATTCCCTGTTAATAACTCATTCTCGAATTGCACTCTTATTATGTTGGTATAATAAGCCGAAGGGTGCACATCTTATGCACGCCCAACTAAAACATTACCATGCACCCCACGTTGGGAATCATTGGACTAAACTAACCCAAGCACTGGCTATTCTAGTTTCAGCTTCTTCATTTTCTCTCCTGAGAGAGTTATCAAAGAAACTGTTTATTTTCCCATTTTATTTCCCCAATGATGGGAATTATTATATCTGTGATATAATAAAACTGATATTTCATGGATGGAATTAAATGGAATGGCTGAAAGGAAAAGGGATGACAAACATGCTTTGTTCTTAGAGAGACTTTTATACCACTAAGACATACACAAAACTATATATACATGTGTCGCACACAGAGAATAATATATCATATGCATACACAACAAGAAGAGTACAAGGAGAAACAAAAAGGAAGGGTTTTACATATAATATGGAGTTTCTTCTGTGTTTCTGGAGAAGCCATGTTTAGGACTCCAGATTCAAGCATACCAGATTCATCTGCTATGTCTCAGGTGAGGACATATTCCATGAATGGCAAATAGCAAGTCTTGGGTTTTCACAAATTGAAGAGTGTTAACTGGAGTTTCTTTCTATATCTGGGGAAGATATATTCCCAAAAGGTAACGGTGTCATGGACTTGGATGCTGTAGCACTTGACAGCTGGCTGTCCCTGACAGGACAAACATGTGTTTCTTGACACTAATACGCTTACTGACTGAATGACTGGCCACTTTCATCACTGTATAAAGTGACATCACGAAGCAGCCGTGATCCATCTCCACTTATCTCCACCAAAGGGAGATAATCACCTTCTGTATACATACAAGCATTTACTAATTTCACATCTTGAATTTTTATGATGGATTCAAGGTAGGTGCCATCACTGCTTTCATTCCTATTTCTGATCAGACTTTTTTAATCATTTCACCCCAATTATTACTGGGTGGTTTGGTTTGATTTGTTTTAAAGCATATCAACCTCAACGGGTTAATTTAATGCTGACAAGATTTTTATTGCTGGTAACATTTTTTTTTCAAAAAATGTATTGATGGTAATAATTTTTTCTTCAAAAATTCATTGCCGGCAATAATTTTTTTACAAAAATATATTGCTGGTACATAAACCTATTTTTACACTTTCATAGTGTTTTGACCCCAATTTGGGTTCTAACTATTTGCCTATAGTTGGAACCCTAACGGGTGCTACCACCCTGGGTCAGGGTGGATCTGGGAACACCAGCAATTAAGGGGTTGTTCCATGCCCCTCAAAACCTTCTTATCAGAGGCCTTGTTGTTGGATGTAGTTTATCATCTTACCCAGGACGCGGATGTAGTTTATCGTCTTACCCAAGACAAGTATTCCTGAGAGAGAAAGAGAATGAAAAGACAAGTGAGGAGAAAGGACAATAAAAGAACAAGTTTCAGGAAGACAGAAGATGCTGATTGATGCCGCATTTAAATTTTTGAAGATTATAGGTAGCAGAGTGGATGCAAGCCAAGTCTACTTTACGTATATATTCACGCTCTACAGCGATGTTAGGCAACTGGAGACACTAGCAGGATTTATGATCAGTGAGTGCAATATAAATTATGCAGATAACACCATGTTGATAGTTCACTTGGAAAGAAACTACAGGATCTTTTAGACAAGTGTGGAAGACGTAAGCAAGAAAAATGGACTGACCATCAACCGTAAGAAGATAGAAATTATGGTTATCAGAAAGAGAATAAGCCCAAAATGTCCACTCATATACTCTTCTTCACAATAGTACACTGTCACTGTATTGTGTCCAAAGCCTCTGATGAATTTCAGCCCCGACACACCTTCCAACCAGAGAAATCGAAACGCTGTTATTTTTGGTTCACACTGCTAGTGGAGCAGGCATGTTTACACTGTCACAGATGCAAGAAAACTTTGATCATGTGACCACAATAGTACCAACTATGAACATGCATGAGCGGAAGGCCGAAAGATACGTTATGGTAAAAGTGCAGATTATTTTTTTTATATTTACCATATATATATATATATTTTTATATATTATATATATATATACATATACATATATATATACATATATATATATATATATATATATATATATATATATACATATATATATATATATATATATATATATATATATATATATATATATACATATACATATACATATATATATATACATATATATATATATATATATATATACACATATATATACATATACATATATACACATATATATATATACATATATACACATATATATACATATATATATATATATATATATATATATATATATATATATATATATATATATATATATATATATTTGTTAAAGATATCTTACCTGAGATCCTGGTTTGAGTGCTGTGCAGGCATAAAGCATGTCATGCCTGGCCTTCCAGAGTTGTTTCCGTTCTGATGGATCCTTGGCCCATACAAAATTGGATCCACCATTGCTTTGCACAATCTCCTCTGGAAAAGTTAAGCAGAAAGAATTGACAAATCCACATGAACTATTTCACATAACAAATATTTTCCAACATAATCTCCTCCTTGCCAAAGCACTTAATCTCTTCAGAGATCTATGCATTGTGCTTTGAAAATTGCGGCTAATAATATGATGTTACGACCATGTCTATCATACAAACACACACACACATTATATATAAGCCAGCATTACCTTGAAGATCCATTTAGGTGAAACCTAGGTAGGTTTGCCTGGCTCCTTAGGATTATCTTAGGTTTTGCTCTACTTAGTGTATTGAGCACTTTATGTAGTTGTCTTTTTGCTCGTTTTGTTTTTTTTTTCTTTGGACTTGGAGCTTAAACACTTGACAACTGTTTTTACCTTGTTTTAATGTTCTTGATTCTTTCTTTTTTTTATTTCCTATTTTTCCTTGGGTACCAATTTGTTCTACTGCAAGCTGAGCTATCCAAGGTTTTTCCAAATGAGTACTACCACGGCACGGTGGAGTAATGGATAGACACTTGGATTGAAGAATCGGAGAGCTGAGTTTGAATTCCAGTTGAATCCATTACATTCACTTACATACTAATACCTTAGGAAAAGGTATAAATCCTCTTCTTCTCCCTCCAGCTATGGGTAAATAGCAGGACAGACTGAGATCTATAGCCTTGGATGGCAACTGGTCTAGGAGAAGGACAACTTTGAATTCAAAACCTGTGGAGAGTCATTTGGGGACCTTGTGGCACGTAGTGCACCAGGTCTCTGAATTCGTCTCTTCAAAAAGTGTGGATGGTCCTGCACGAAACTTTCACCACTATAATCAAATCTCATGTGATGGCATCAGGCTGTCAGTTTCCTAGGAACTGATCTGCTTGACCCTCATGTGTCGAATTTGACGGGAGAATCGTATATATATATATATATATATATATATATATATATACACACACACATACATATTCTATATACATACCTACACAAAAAATTCAGCTAATAATGTCATGTTACAGATTTATATATTCCATGTCTATTACATACGCATATTCCCATATATATATATTTTTTAAATTTTTATTAAATCAGAGAATTCAATTTTCACTCTCAAAAGAAAAGGAGGCATTTTTGCATTGAAAAAATAAAAAACAAGATATGGAGCATGTATCTAAAAGTGGTTGGAGAATGGACTGACTAAAACATTGTACTACAAATAAAAGCAACAGAAAAAAATGAATAAGAATGCTGAAGAATGTTACTGTAACGGGGGGTGGTGGCGCTGAGAACTTGTCAGAACCAGCTTTCTGCCAAAAACAATTCTGTTCTTAAAATTCTTTTACTTACCAACAACTTTTACTTGGTCATCAAGTGCAGATGCAGCTCCATGAAATTCCAGAAACAAAGTCGGCGCCACTTGTAAGGACAACTTACTGTATTTATTGCATGCATCAATCATCACATCATCCATGAATTCTGTAGGAAGAGAAAAAAATAAAATTCATGAAATATTAAGAGTTCGGAGGTTCAATCAAAATCTGAAACATGATATCGAGTCAATTGTTACATCTACAAAGTTGCATATTTATTTCATATAAAAGGGTTGGCTGAAAAGTTCATAGACTGACCAAGATACTCTCATGGAATGTGACCAAATGAGGTTTATTTTTCTACATGGTCCCTCCTGCGGTACACACACTTCTTTCATTGGTGTTGAAGTGCTTGGTTCCCATTGGTGAAGAAGTGTCAAAAAAAATCAACAACAGCAGATATGATGTCCTCATTACTGCAATAAAAAATGTTTTTTCATGTTGGGGAACAGATGATAGTCAGATCAGTCCAAATCCGGAGAATAGGGAGGACCATCAACCAGTTCAGAATTACAGTCATGCACAACAGACATTGAAAGTAAGGACTTGCTCGCAGTGCTTTGGGTCACTTCTTTAGCCATTTTCAAGGGGATTGTTTTTAATTTATATATATATATATATATATATATATATATATATATATATAAATATATGTGAAAAATATAGAAAATAGGAAAGAACTCGTTAGGTAAATAATCCAAAGTTCTTTAGTATTTTTTTTAAAATAGTGCTCGATACAAAAGTAGAGCATAAATATATTTATTTATTTAAAATATGATTCCAACATGCTATATAAGAGTTCCCATGTTTCAAAACAAGAGCCGAAAACTTCATTTTAATTATATTGAAATTTTCAGCTCTTGTTTTGAAACATGAGAACTCTTATGTAGCATTTTGGAATCATATTTTAAATAAATAATATATATATATATATATATATATATATATATATATATATATATATATATATATATATATATATTGTAATGATCAATATGGTAATCCATATGGAGTTTCCAGGAAGAGCTCTATGTGAAAAGACAGAGCAAAATTATTATTAATTAAAGAATATCAAACACTTAAAATCCAATAGGTAATAATTTTTATTTCATGAAAGCTCTTAAAAAAAAAAGAGAGAGAGAGAGAGCTCTCAATCTTCAAGACCTACAAACAAATCACCTCTGATGATTTGTTTGTAGGTCTTGAAAAGATTGAGAGCTGCTTTTTTTTTTTTTAAGAGTTTCATGAAATAAAAATTATTATTACCTATGGGATTTTAAGTATTTGATAGTCTTTATATATATATATGTGTGTGTGTGTGTGTGTGTAGAGAGAGAGAGATATTCCACATGCGATCTAGAATTGGAATATTTTTTCCCTCTCATGTGAGAAGATAATGAGCCTCACCAACCTGACAATATAAAAAAAACAAACTTCTGTGACCGTAGCTGAAACTGAGCAAGTCAACTACGCTAACAAAATGTTTTTTTCCAAGGGAGATAATAAAAGAAATCCTTAAAGCACTTACAAAACAAAAAGCAAAGACATGGTGTATGACAGGGGAGATAACTCTGGGAAATAAAAATTCCTTTCTTTGTCTTGCCCAAAATTACATCACCCCATTAATTAGAGTGATTAAAAAAAAAAAAAACCTACACAACAATAAAATCCACACTGGTGTAACTGAAGAATTGGGCCAACAATTTGATCTCTACTGACTCTGTAAATTGTTACACTCACCAATATCTCTTATTTGGAACTTCTGAAGAAGGCTGGAGAATACATCTGCTGAAATATGTTCTTTGAAAGTTATCTCAAATACGGAAATACACTATGAACACCAAACTTTTGGATAAATTACTGTATTTGCCAGCCGACTGAACACACCCAGATTTTAACATAGAAAATTAAGGGGAAAAAAAATGCACAAATCACAAAAAAAATAAAAATAAATAAATGTATGAAATAAAAAAAAATAAAAATTTTGGCAATGGATACATCACAACCAAAAAATAAAAATAAAAATTATAACCTTCCATTTACATGACATTCTCACTAACATGAAGAAACACTTACAGTATTAACACTAATTATACTATTAGTACTTTTTTTTTAAATAGAAGTGAGGTAGGTTTAATTACCAGAAAATTTTTTGGAAAAGAACAATTTTAGTACATTTCATGATGCATTTATTGAAAATTGTTTTAGTTGTTTTTCAAGGAGCAACATCTGCAGATACAGGAAATTTATAACAGCTACAAAGAAATCTACTTCATTATTTACATTATTCAGACTGTTATCCTCATCTTCATTGCCAAATTCTCAAGAACACATAGCCCAGTGGATAAAGACCTTGGTTAGATCGAGTGACTACACCCAAAGAATTGTGAGTTCAATACCAGGCCACAGCAGTGGTGAACCAAAACTTGGAGATTTGAGTTAAACAGAAATAACTGAAACATTCAGAAGAGGCATAGCACATGGAACTAGAACAATCTACCCTGATGGATGAAATAAAGGGTTTGGTTTGAAATTCCAATCACCAGAGCATACAAAGACTGAAATGTTGTGAATATGGCAATGAAGATGAGGATAACAGTCCAAATAATGCAGTGGTGAACCAAAACTTGGAGATTTGAGTTAAACAGAAATAACTGAAGCATCCAGAAGAGGCATGGCACGTGGAACTAGAACAATCTACCCTGGTGGACAAAATAAAGGGTTTGGTTTAAAATTCAAATCACCTGAAGAAGGCCAGAGTGTACAACAGCTGAAATGTTGTGAACATGGGAATGAAGATGAGGATAACAGTCCGAATAATGCAAAGTAATCATAATACCACATCTCAGCGATATAGACAGCTACAAAATCTACTAGTATCAGTGAACACTGGTACATATGGTAATAGGCACCTCCCGCCCCGAAATATGGTACTTTGTTGATAAATGAAGTTCCATTCCATACATGCAGAAAACCAAAATCCAATACCTGGATATCAACAACAAACACACACAAAGCAAGCAGCAATATATCAGTCAAAGCAAATCTTTCTATAAAATCTGGTATTTCTACAAAACAAGCAACAGAATATTGCGCAATCCCATAAATTTCTTAATCTCTTTTTTCTGGGTGAATTTTTCAGGGATATTTTTACTGATATCATGTTTGTTCACTTCAAGGAGTCCTAGCTAAGCACTATGCGTGAAATGATTTCTGGTGAACCCCACTTTTTTCATGGTTTTCATGTCCCACTCATACATGAAACTGGTGTATTGGACACAGGGTAATCTCTTGGTGCTTTTTTTTTTTTTTAAATCTGCATCCAATAGGTTGGCAAACAAGGTAATTTTTTTTTTTTTAAAGTGATGATAAACTAATACTCAAAGAAGTTGGTCAGTTGGTTGATATTTCAAACATCCTCATATTTATATAACTTATATATTATGCACATATTTAAGAGAAAAAGATGCCTTCCAAATCCTAAGCAAACTACTAAGAAATAGAAAAATCTCATTAAAAACAGAGAAAAGAGTCCTGAGCTGTTATGTAATATCGGTCCTCTTGTATGACAGTGAATACTGGACAATCTCCTTACAGATGAAGAAAAGACTTGAAGTGACAGAGATGTGGTGCTACTGACGTGTGTCCTTAGAAACAAAGAAAAGAGTGTTGGACGGGTATGTAATATCTAATCTCCTATATGGCAGTGAATGCTGGACAATCTCCTCACAGATGAAGAAGAGACTTGAGGCAAAAGAAATGTGGTTCTACAGAAGGATGCTGAGAATACAATAGACAGAACATGCTGGCAACAATGAAGAGTTATAGAAAATGCAAACAAAAAAGAACACTTACACATAGCATTTAGAAAGAGACATTTAAAATTTCTAGGGCACATAGTGAGGAAAGAGGGCTTGGAAGGTTTGACACTCACAAGGCATATTGAAAACAAGAGGGACAGAGGAAAGCAGTGCACAACCTACCTAGCAGGCCTGTGTAAATGGATGGCGGAACCAAGTTGAGGAGAGATAGCACAAAGACAAAAATTACTAAAGACTACAAAAGACAGGAAATTGTGGAGAGCCATGATCGCCCACATCATGAAGGGTCAGGACAGGTAAAAGAAGTATGTCTGAATTCTAACATTTAAAAAAGAAAAATATGCAAGGATGGAATCAACAGAATCGTGTCTATCACACCGACAACATTCAGTTCTTGATAATGATGGAGGGAGTCAAAAAAGTAGTTGAATGAAAATGGAAGATGTGAACTTTGGCCAGTTTATCCACAATTTTAAAAACAATGTACAGCATCTTATTCAAAATGTAAAATAAAATAAGGAAGATTAAAATTGGCAAACATGGACAATTGTGTCTGCAATAAAATAGAGTGTCAAAAGAATGGTTTTTCCCCCATGACACCATGTTTTTAACTAACTTCACTCTTCAGCAATGTTTGTTTTACAAAATGATGATTAGAATTGGAATAAAACCTAGACACATCAAAGTGAATTTTCTTTGTTCTTGAGAATTAGCAACAAAAATAATAAACATTTTTATTAAATTGTTTATTTACAGTATTATATTATTTATTGAAATGGTTGGCCAACCATCAGCTAATTACCAACTGATTGAAACTTTATGAAATGGTAAATAATAAAGATTTCCTTATAGTTGGTTCACATATTTTAATAATTTAGTAAATGTTTATAAAAAAAAAATTGTTTTCACATTTCTTTATAAATGGATAAGTAATAAATATAGCATTGCATTAATTTTAATTGTATTAGTTTTTAGGATGTTTTAAATATAAAGTTATTCTTTTAAATAAACAATCTAATAAATAAATAGTGTTTAATATTTTTGTTGTAAATTCTCAAGAACAAAAAAAATATGTATAAATTCACTTTCATCATATGTTTAGGTTTTATTACAATTCTAATCATCACTTTTTAAAACAAATATTTCCAAAGAGTGAAGGTATTAAAATAAAAAAAGTATCATGAAGAAAACCCGTCCTTTTCATACTATGTCTTATTGCAGTTATGAAGGTCTACGTTAGCCGAAAATTAAACAAAGAATTTGTGAGTTGAATTTAAAAATGAAGGAACCCCTTTAGGACAGGGGAAATAACTCTGGAAAACAAAAATTATCATCACTTCAGACATTTTTAATATTTTCAAACATTTAAAGTAATAAAAACGTCAGATTTATCCATTAATTCTTTAGAAATTATAAGCAAATCGGATCTAATGACAATTTCTCCTGCCAATGAGGTATGCAGGTTCGAGTCCTGCCAGAAATCACATTTTTTTTTTTAAATAAGATTTTTCAAATATTCAGGCTAGTAGACAAAAAAAATAAATAAATGTACTGTTTAGTAAATGGAACATCTATTCAAATATGATTAGCCACCAAATAATAATGTTTAAGTAATAAAATCTGACGGATTAATAAAAAAAAATTCATATAATATATATATATATATATATATATATATATATATATATATATATATAATAGATTCTTAAAGAATCTAACTTCTATCTATCTAATACAAAGAATACATTCTTAAAGAGCTCAGCCATAAATTAGAACCATGTGACTCCCTGCTACACAGTCTGACTGCACAAATGTGAAGACTTCAGAACTCCCACTAGACAGACACGCATATACAATTAGGAATACACATTACCATCCAACTTAGACATGAAAGAATCTTCACAAACTTACATACACATAGAATTATCTATGATTTTAATGCATACGACACATGTCTGACCAATGAGAACTGACCCAAACATAATTGAAAATTACCAGTGTTTTCTGTCTTTTTGTCTGTTTTTGCTCAATCTCTGACAAAGCTTTAATAAAAGTAAAACATTAGATTGATTTGTTTTTTTATATATATATATATATATATATATATATATATATATATGCTGAATATAACATCAATCAGCTAAGTGACAAATTTTGTATTAATCTTATATATGTGTGTGTGTGTGTGAAACCTGCTTAAGCAATAAAAAATCAATCAACACAAACACAAAAACACCAGAATTTAAGTTCAATATAACAGCAATAGTAAGAATAAAAATAGAGACAGAAAAATCATTTGTTACATACTCCCATTTAACCAAATGGTTAGTATTAAGTTAGGGCAGAAGTTTCTCAATTTAATTGAGAAACACTTCCCCAGGAATACTTTTTTCAAAAATGTATTGCTGCTAATATTTTATTTTTCAAAAATGTATTGCTGCTAATATTTTATTTTTCCAAAAATGTATTGCTGATAATATTTTATTTTTCCAAAAATGATTACTAGTAATATTTTTTTCCTTAAAAATTCATTGCTAGTAATAAGTTTTTTACAAAAAAGGCATTGCTGGTATTAAAACCTATTTTTACATTTTTGATAGTGTTTTGAAACCAGTTAAGAGGTTGTTCCACGCTTCTCAAAACCTCCTGACCAGAGACCTTGCTGTTGGACATAGTTTATCATCTTACCCAAGATGCAGATGTAGTTCATCATCATACCCAGAACGGCATCTCACTAGGGTCATTGTTTAAGGCACTTAAATCCAAAAATAATACAAGAGGACTTTAACATGCATTTTTGCCCCACTTAAAAATCAAATTGCTTCCCTGTTGAGTGTGTGCATCCCACTTTGGGAAACACAGCTTTAAGCTTTTATCCCAGTCACAAATTTCAGTGTAATTTACATTCAGTGAAATTTGCACCATTTTATTTTAAAACTATGTTCTTGAGAAAACCTAATGGTTGCAATATTAGAAATTGCCTCATAAGTTGTTTAAAAGAAGCTGATCTAAAATTGAAATGACATTCCTGGGTTTATAAACTGTCATATATGAATGAAAAGGGGCACCACAAGCTTGTTTCACTAAAACAGTTATGACAAAATAGTGAGTTTGATCCTCACTGGGTGCCCCATACATTCGGACTTGTGCTACAATATTTGGACACTTCGATGTGGTTTAATGGTTAGTAAGCATGTCTCACTAGATCAATTACGACTGAACAGTGAGTTCGATCCTCACTGGGTGTCACATACATTCAGCCTTGTGCCACATTTAAGCTACACTTAGAAAAAGGGGACCTCGACCTGGTGTCATGGTTAACAAGCTTGTCTCACTAGAACAATTACGGCTAAGTAGTGAGTTCGATCCTCACTGGGTGCCCCTTATTTTGGCCTTGTGCCACATCTAAGCTATACTTGGAAAATCACTACTGGACACCTCGGCATGGTTTAATGTTTAGCAAGCTTGTCTCACTAGATCAGTTACGACTGAAAAGTGAGTTTGATCCTCACTAGGTGCCCCATATTTTCGGCCTTGTGCCACATCTAAGCTATGCTTAGAAAATAACTATATGAATGAAAAGTATCACTGCTGACACCAGAGTTTCAACGTGAATCTCAAGACAATGAAAATGTAGACTGCCATTTATTATAGAGATATCATGCTACTGAATAGTTACAATTAAATGTTTGACTATTGTGTTAACCCGGATGTTAAAGTCGAGGGTCCCATGTTTTGAAAACTAATTAGTACTTTTCTTAGCAACCCTATGCAGTAATGTATTAACTGATAAGCGATCAATAAACTTTTCATTGACTCTTTACTTCTTTGATGTTAATGCATTTTAATTGCGTTTGGTAATTAAATACTTTATTATTTTATCTTACATTGAAGTCTTTCCGTTATTACTTATATAATTTATGTGTGACAGATTACAAAATAAATGTTTCCCTGCAATATTCTTAAAAAATTAATGTTAAAAAAAAAATGGGAAAGAATAACAAAAGAATTTACCAATTCTTGCTATTGGAATTCCACATTGTAACGTCATGACAGTGGAATCTACGGCTGATTGAACTGTTGGAAAATGGCACACAGCAGAAATTGTCTGAAAGAACCAAATAGTAGGCATTTTTATCTGTTTGCAATTTTTAATCTTAATTCATTACAGAAAACACATTACTGTATAACTTAATATTATAGAATAATGAGCAAAGAGGAAACGTTTATAAATTTAACATGCTTCGATTTTAGTTAAGCTTTGTCAGAGATTTTTGGAAATGTGTTGAGGAAGAAAAAAATAGTAAAATTTCTGATGAAGCTCAAATAAAATCGAAACGTTTTTTTAATTTATAAACATTTTCTAGTTTTTCTTTTTAATCATTTCACCCAAGCAAGGCAATAAAGCCACTGAGACACTAGGGGGGTAACTGAGTATGAAAGAATAAGAAAAAAAAAATTTTTTTAAAGTGAGAACAATAAAAGAACAGAAATTAAGAAAACAGAAAATGATTGATGCAAGATCAGGGCCAATAACATTGCAGATTTGTTGAAATTTAAGGCACACAGATCCTCCTAACATGGAGTCTAGTCATAGCAATCTTCCTTTTATTACTTGGCAACTGTTTTCATATTTTTATTGATTCATAGATTTACTATGGCTTATCAACCCTTCATAGGTTATTTAAAGCCAAAAAATAATTTTAGATTGTAAGAATTCCTTGTTTTTTGTTTGTTTTTGTTTTTTTTTTAGATACTAATGGTTAGTCTTACTAATTAATCCAGAGCTAGGGGGAGAAATGGAGGATTCATACCTTTCCCAAGGTTATTTTCATGTAAGTGAATATAATGAACCCAACTGGAATTGGAACTCAGCTCTCTGATTAATAAGTCTGCACTATTATCCATTACACCACCTGCACATCCACACTTACAGCACCTGGTATTTCCAACTGGCAACCCATTTAACTTCAGTGATCGTATGGGAACAAGTGTTTCAACATAACATGGTTGTAAGCTATATTTTGATTTAAAATTATTAAAAATTTTGTAAGAAAGAATTATGTATTTTAACTAGTATCAGCATTATGTTTTGTGTTGGGGGATCAATATATAATGAATTTACATAGCAAACTGGACCCCCTTCTTAAAATTTTATTTTATTTTTTTATATTCATGACCTGGAGGACTTATTTGATAGTAGCAAAAAAAAAAAAAATTATTATTCTTCGTAAGACGCACTTCTGTAGAAATGCTAAATACTTTCCAGTTTTCACCAATTATGACCCAATTTATGAATTGAGTGGTTATCAACAGGATTGGTGCATACTACTCTGATCAGGGCCGGTGATATTGGGTCTGCCTCTCTACTACATGACTATTTCAAAGTTTCCCAACCTGGGGGTCACAAACCATTGAAGGAAAATTGGGGTGGGGGAGGGCAGCACTTTCTTTGAATTACAAAAAAAAAAAAAAAAAATCAGGGAATTATCCAAATTTCAGTAGATATGCATTATTTACTTTTATAATGAATACATTTTTTTTATTCAAAAACAATCTGAAAAAATGTTATTTTTTTTGTAATTAACACCAATATTTTCATGACTAAATTTTACTCAAAAAAAAAAAAAAAAAAAAAAAAAAAGAAGTTAAATTTTTACATTTCCATAAAGATTAATTGCCAATGCATCTCCTCTGAAAAAAAAAGTTTTACAAAGATTCCAACACAACACAAATGGGATTCTCTTATCAATTTGTTTTAGAAATAGTATTTTAGTTTCCAGGAAAAATTTTTCATAAGCTGAAATCTTTAAACATTTTTATTTTTAAGTGATCGTTTTCTGTTTCATCTTTCTAGAAATGTAAAAATTAAATTCTAACCTCGCCGGGCATTCCTGTGTAGTACACACTACACGGGCCATGCAGATACACAATGTACATTATTAGTTGATAAATGACAATGTAATGTCAGTTTAAAAATAATTAAAAAAAATGACGGGTGGCCATAGAATAGTGCTTTAAAAAAAAAAAAAAAAAAAAAAAAGCATAAATTTGTTTTGCTCATACTAAGTGTTGAAAAAAACACTATAAAAATTCATATTACCCATAATCTTACTTATTATAAAACCCAGGTTGTGTGTGTGTGTGTGTGTGTGTGTGTGTGTGTACGTTTATATATTGGATCGGATTTCCTACATTTTTCAACCGATTTCAACAAAGCTTCACAGGACTATGTAAAATTACCTTGCGGTGGTTCTGACAGCACCAAAAATTGGAAAAAAACACAATTATTTTTGCATGAAATCAATTTGAAAACACGATTAAGAGGCATTAATGAAAGGGGGACAACTCATATCAAGTTATACTTATTAATATCGAGTTATCAAGTTATACTTATTATAAAACCCAGGTTGGTTGTTTGTGTGTGTTCGTTTATATATTGTATCGGATTTCCTACATTTTTCAACTGATTTCAACAAAACTTCACTTTTTTTTGGCAGGTAGTGTTTCTTATTGTCTTGCACACTTCTTTCTTTATTTTTACATTCAGAATGCTTTAAAAATTCCATTTACAAGACAATTGTTTATAATAAAATTCTATTCAATCGGTAGACTCATAACGATTGAAAACAATGTTTTTGTTTGAGTTTGGGTTTGACCAATTCGTAAAAAAAAAAAAAATAAAAATAAAACTAATTAAGACATGCATGTCAGTCAACCTTAAATAATAATTTTTGTCAATTTTTCAGTCTTTATGATGGTCGATACTTGATCTATATCTTACTGTTACATCCCCAGGCAACGCCGGGTTCTACTGCTAGTGTTTAATATGTTAACATTCTTCAACTTTTAAGAAGAAAAATCTGAAGCTGATGTAAAAAAAATTGCCACAAAACATTGTTGATTTATTTTAGATGAATGATCAATTTAATGACATGTTTCTAATTTGTATTCAAATACATTGGATTTATTTTCAATTTTTCTAGTTTAATTGGTCACCTATATTGCATATGATCCATTATTGTACATAATTAGGTATCTCGAGGTCCTCGCCGAAATCCAGAGACTGATATGCAATGTGATAGGTCCTGATCTGGCATCTCATCTACAGTCACTTTCTCACAGACATGCTGTAGTGTCTCTGTTTTTTTCTACAAATATTTTCATGGCAACTGCTCTGATGAGCTACTTTCACTGGTACCCCAATCTGCATGAACTTAAGTGTGATACGAGGTTGGCATCTCGGTCCCATCCTTTGACTGTCGAAACGGTTAAATGTAGATGTCACTTCTACTCTAACACCTTCTTCTCTCACACTTCCCGACAGTGAAACTCCCTTCCTCTTAGTTGCTTCCCTGATTCAAATATTCAAATGGAATGTCAATTGACATCTTCTGACGTCTTGATCTTGATCTCTGTCCTTCTGTTTATCCTTTCCTCAAACACCCCTCTTTACTCTTGCTCTCACTCTCTGTAACTCCTTGCATACTAGTGGCACTTCCACCTTGCTTGGGGTGATATGCTAAAAAAAAAAAAAAAAAATAAAAAAAAAAAATTGTTTTTTATATGAATACTACCTTATGAAAATTGAGATGTAGTTGAGTTGGGGACACTGTATCATAGATATGGGGGTGGTGGGTATAATAGTTACAAGGAGTAGTGGCATGGGACCTTTGCACCAACTCTGGTTATCGATACTACAGTTTACTTCTTGTTTTGTAACCATAAAGCAACGAAAGCTGAATTCTGGTGCTCCTAACACAAATCTCAAAATTCTTGACAAATTTCAAAGGATCTGTAATGTAATCGATGCTCACCTGGCATCTCAACTTCAGTCACTTTCTCACCAAGATGACATGGCTTCCCTCTGTCTTTTCTACAAATATTTACATGGCAACTGTTCTGATGATTTGTTGTGCTTAGTCTATCGAATACATGAATTTAAGTTTGTTACTTGATTGGCAACTAGGTCTCACTGTTTTATTGTCAAACTAGCAAGATGCAACTGTCTGTTCTATTCTAATAGTTTCTTTTCTCACACTTCTCGCCTGTGGAACTCCCTTCTTATTTATTGCTTCCCTGCTACATGCAATCTTCAAAAATTTAAATGTAATATCAATTGCCACCATTTGTCTTTCTGAATCTGGTTTCTTTATTGACCCTTTCCTCACTAATGTTTTCTCATTTACTTTCACTTCCTGCAAACCTCTGTGTTCTAGTAACATTATTGCCTTGCTTGGAGCTAAAAAAAAGTAAAATATAGGCCAAAAAAAAAAAAAAAAAAAAAAAAAAAAAAAAGGTGGGGTACTTACAGCCTCTGGTTGTCCATAGAGCTTCAGGGTAGCTTTTGTAATAATTCCCAATGTTCCTTCAGAGCCAACAAACAGATTTGTAAGATTATAACCAGCAGATGTTTTCCTGGAAGAAAACAAAAGAAAATCAGACCAGGTATTTTGATAAGAATAAATTAAAAAAAAACAAAAAAACTCAGAGACCTGGCAGCTTACTGCAAAATTTGATCCTTCATTTCAGTAATAAGTGTTAAAACATCAGTAGTTGACCTAGAGAAGCGAAAGCCATATTGCTTATCTGGAAGAAGACTCTGCAAAGTTAGATGCTTAACCATTTTAGTGTTGATTAGAGCCTTTAGGTATTTACCAAAAAGAGATAGAAGACTAATAGTTCAACAGAAGAATCAGACAGTTCACCAGTGTTCTTAAAAACAGGAATTACAGAAGAGGATTTCCAACAAGCAGGATTGATTGACTTATCTATTTAATGGCATATCAACTCCTTATTGGTCATTTAATGCCAAAATTTAATTTTCTTGGGAAATAAGTAATAAAAATTTAATGTATATTATTCTGCTTTCACAACTGAATACATGGTAGATGATACTCAACTTAAGAAATTATAGGATATTATAAGGATTAATGTCATGAAAGTTCTTTCATGTTGGTTGGTTGATTATTTTAGTGGCATATCAACATCTCTATGGGTTGTTTAATGCCAAAATCTAAATATTTTGAACACAATATTATGACTTCAACTTCAGATGCCTCTTCTGGATGTCTCAATTATTTCCTTTTAATTCAACTCTCCAAGTCCTCAAGGATACATGGCCCACTAGATAAAGACTTTGGTTAGATCCCGTGACTAGATGCAAAGAGTTTTGAGTTCAATACCAGGCTACAGCAGTGGTGAACCAAAAAAACTTGGAGAGTTGAGTTAAAGGGAACAAACTGAGACATTTGGAAGAGGCATGGCACATGGAACTAGAACAATCTAACTCAGTAGATGAAATAAAGGGTTTGGTTCAAAATTCTAATCACCTGAAGAAGGCCAGGGTATACAACAGCAGAAATGGTGGGAATATGGCAATGAGGATAACACTCCGAATAATCATAATACCTCATCTCAGGGATATAGAGAGATAATTTAGATTCAAGTCCAGTGGTTTTCAGTATTGTTTTGAGTTCGTCCTTGTATCTTCGAATAGGGCAATCCCATGTTTTTTTTTCTCTGAAATGAGCCTGTTGAAGAAGACTTGAAGTGGAAAACTTGACCCTCTCCTATTCTTGCTACATGTCATGACCATCAAAGACGGCATTTCATGATCAGTGATTCTTTGACTGTTGGCTCCTTCCAGAATTTTCCTGTAGGTCATATAGTATTCCCATTTTGTATTCAAGATTGAATGGAATTTTTGCTTGTGAAAGCATTCTAATTCTTGGATGTTGTGACTATACAGAAACCAGGTTTAACAGACATATTGCAAGGTTGAAATGACAACAATATTATCTCAATAAAAGGGGCAGGATATGTGTGTGTGTGTGTGTGTGTGTGTGTGTGTGTGTGTGTGTGTAACAAATGCATGGTTGCAATTTTCGACAGATTTGCATCAAAATTTACATGCACATGCTCCAAGTTAGCGGGAAGGCCATGACTGACTTTGCATTTCCCAACTGCCATCTATAGTGGAAATAATCGATTTTTTCATGCTTCTACAGCAGTTTTCATGTAGTTTGCAGCCATTTTCTACTGGCCAGAGTGAGAGCCAATAGCTGGCTGCCACGAATAGGCAGGAAAATTCTATTGGCCAGTGTGAGAGCCAACAGCTGACTGACATGAATGTTAACTAGCATGCTAGTATGCAAAAAAAAAAAAAAAAAAAAAAAAAAAAATCGATAACTGCATTTGTCACAAGTGAGAAAAATTTAAATCTGCATGGCACTTTACTCCAATTGGCTCATTCGCTTGCTTAAACTCAACGTTTATTCTGATTCCGCAGAACTGGGTTGGGTGTGAAAAAGTATTTGTTGTTAACATTCTTTTTTTATTCGGTTTTTCCAGTTACCAGTCCTTTTTTAAAGCTGAACGTTTTGTGTCCATTTTGTTTAGTTCTTTTTTCGTAACAGATTTAATGTTTAGTATAGAACTTAGAAAAAATCTGCAGTGTGAGATAGGCAAGAAGTAAGGCATGTAGCAACATCAGCACGGCAAAGGGCACTCCTTTAAAGTTGAGGAAGGGCAAAAATATCTTAAGTCAAGTGATAGCAATTGCCATATGAGTCGTACGATTTTTTAATCAAGCACGGACAACGCCAGGCCATGCTGCTAGTACACCATAATTTTCGTTGTTAAGTTCAGATCTTTGTTGTTGAAGACATGTTTGATTAGTTTTTTTAATGCCCTGTGTGCAGCTCCAATTCCGTGTTCTACATCCTTTTCGAAGGTGCTCATGCTTGATAAAAGGCTGCCTGGAAACTGTTCAAGTTGTTTTATTTCTTTTTGGTTTGGTTTGTTTTACGGCATATCAACCTCAATGGGTTATTTAATGCCAACAAGATTTTTATTGCTGGTAATATTTTTTTTTTTTTTCATATATATTGTTGGTAATTTTTTTTTCCCTTCAAAAATCTATTTCTGGTAATATTTTTTTCTTCAAAAATGTATCAGTTGTATTTTTTTTTTTTTCAAAAAAGTATAGCTAGTAATAATTTTTTTCTTCAAAAACTTATTGCTGGTAATAACTTTTTTTTTACAAAGTATTTCTGGTATTAAAACCTATTTTTACACTTTCATAGTGTTTTGACCCCAGTTTGGGGGTTAACTATTTGCCCATAGCTGTGACCCTGGCAGGTGCTACCACCCCAGGAATACCAGCAATTTCTGAGGTGGTTCCACGATCCTCAAAACCTCCGGATCAGAGGATGTAGTTTATCGTCATACCCAGGACACAGATGTAGTTTATCATCATACCCATGATGGCTGTTCTACTTGCTCTTGATGTTTATCACAGAATGAATCTATTGGTATTGAACAGTGGCTTTCAGTGTTGGTGGTCCTTGTATCTTCGTTGAGGGCAACCCTGTGGTCTTTTCCTTTAAGTGAGCTCACTGAAAATGACTTGATATTGAAACTTTGACTCTTCATTTCTTGCTACATGACTTAACCATTGAAGATAATGTTTAATTATTTTTGTTTTTAAGACCTTTACCTTCAAGCTTATTTCAGGTAAACATCTAAGGACTACTAATGAATCCATTGCCTTTCTATCTTGTCGTTTGACTACTTACTATTCTTCTCTGGTAGCTTCAAAGGTTTTGGTTCCGCAGGTGATGGAAGGTACCTAGTTGGTATGTTCTTGTGCATGTGTTTCAAATTAGTTAGGCTCAAATCCACTGGCTTTTATACTGATGGCGTTGACTAAATCGACCAAATTCTCGATGGAACACCTTTAATTGGTACAGTCTTGTGCTTGTATTTCAAACAATTTAGGCTCAAGTCCAGTGGCTTTTAGTGGTTTTGGTCCTTTTATCTTCGAATAGTGCAACTCTGTGGTCTTTTCCCTGAAGTGAGCTCATTGAATAAGATTTGATATTGAATCCTTGATTCTTGCTAACCATCTATGACTATATTTAATTATATTTGTTTTTAAGACCTAAACCCTCAAGCTTATTTCATGTACACATCTTAAGACTATTAATGAATCCACAACCCTTTCTATCTTGCCGTTTACTTCCCATTCTTCTGTGGTCATTTCAAAGGGCTTGGTTCTGAAGATGATGGAAGATAACTAGTTGGTATCTTCTTGTGCATGTGTTTCCACTGGCTTTCAATGTTGTTTTGAGTTGACCTTTGTATCTTCGAGGAGGGCAACCCTGTGGTCTTTTCCCTGAAGTGAGCTCACAGAATAAGACTTGATAATTAAACCTTGACTCTTCCTTTCTTGCTACATGCCCTGACCATCAAAGAGTGTGTCTAATGAAAATAGACGCTCAATATAGGTTTGTTTTATTAGAGGCAGTTACGTAGAAATTTTAGTTCTCCGTTTCTTCTCATATGAACAAGCATCGTCGACATATTCGTTGGCTTTATCTTGTATCCAAGAATTTATTTCTTCTTTACTAATCGCTTCTTTTATACTGATGACGTTGACTAAGTCGACTAATTCTTGATAGAACACCGCCAGTTGTTATGGTCTTGTAATTGTGTTTCAAAAAATTTAGGCTCAAGTCCATTGGCTTTCAGTGTTGTTGATCCTTGTATCTTCAAAGAGAGCAGCCATGTGGTCTTTTCTCTGAAGTGAGCTCAGTGAATAAAACTTGATATTTAACCTTGACTCTTCAATTTTTACTACCATCAAAGGTTCTTTGCTTTGCTGGTTACATTGGATTCCCATTTAATGTTCAAGATTGCATGAAGCTTTTGCTGGTGAAAGCGTTTTAATTGTTGGATGTTGCGATGATATAGAATCCAGGTTTTGTAGCCATATAGAAAGGTTAAAAAGACAACAGTATTATAGACCATGATTTTTGTTGTTGAAGACACAAGGTTGATTATCTTTCCAAATGCTCTGTGTGCTGCTTCGATTATGTGTTCCACATCCTTTTCAGAGGTGCACTTGTTTGATGAAAGGTGGCCTAGATGTGGAAAACACTCTACTTGTTTATATCAGAGATAGTAATATCAAAATCTGGTCAGATGGTATTTAGGACTGGCTGCGCATGGAGCTTGGGTGGTTTTATGTTTACTATGAAGCCAAAGCGATGGTAGGCCATAGAAAATTTGTTCAAGGACTGTTGAAGCTCTTCTTTTGAATGACAGAGGGCAGCATTTTCATAAGCATATTGAAGTTCTGAGATGTGTTGCAAGTGTGTTTGATCTTTGTTGTTGAAGATGTGTTTGATTAGCTTTCCAAATGCCACATATGAAACTCCGATTCTGTTCCACATCCTTTTATGGTTTTGGTTTGGTTTGTTTTACAGCATATCAACCTCAATGGGTTATTGTTATTGTTAGTAATATTTTTTTCTTCAAAATTCTATTTCTGGTAATATTTTTTTCTTCAAAATTCTATTTCTGGTAATATTTTTTTCTTCAAAATTCTATTTCTGGTAATATTTTTTTCTTCAAAATTCTATTTCTGATAATATTTTTTTCTTCAAAAATCTATTTCTGGTAATATTTGTCCTTCAGATATGTATTGTTGGTAATATTTGTTTTTTCAAAACTTTTTTGCTGGTATTAAAACCTCTTTTCAAACGTTTTGACCCCAGTTTGGAGGATTAACTATTTGCCCATAGCTGGGACCCTGACAGGTGCTACCACCCCAGGTTAGGGTGGGCCTGGGAACACCGGCAATTAAGAGGTGCTTCCACACCCCTCAATGTAGTTTATCGCCATACCCAGGGTGGACATCCGTTTCTGAGATGCACTTGTTTGATAAAAGGCTGTCAGGAAACTGTTCTACTTGTCTTGAGGTTTATCACAGATGAATCTATTAGTATTGAACTAATCAAAGTTCTAAGAGGTGTCGCCTGTGCGTTAGATCTTTGTTGTTGAAGACGCATTTGATTAGCTTTCCAAATGCCAAATATACAACTCCGATTCTGCATAACACATCCTTTTCTGAGGTGCACTTGTTTCATAAAAGGATGCCTACATATGGAAAACGCTCTATCAATCAACAGAGTAGATTGTTCTCATTCCACATATCCTAATTAATTGGTTTGTTATTTTTGTTGTTTTTTTTACAGCTCATAAACAAAACACATCTCTGCCAGTATAGAAAGCTACACCCATGAATTGAATAAAGGGTTTTGTTTAAAATTCCAAGCCAGTTATTAAGTACAAAATGACAAACACCTGAAGAAGGCCTCATACAGTGGCCGAAATGTTATGAGTATACCAACCAAGATAGGCATGCGGGTTCAAATATAAATGGTAATTAATGATCTCAGAAATTCTTTCAGAAACTTACTTCATTCGTCGTCCTTTGCCAGCTGTGTCAATTATTTGGCCATCGGCTAAAACCACTTCCAAGTTGAGCACATTTTCTCTCATCGTCCCATAACGGACAGCATTAGTACCAGAAGCACTTGTTGCACACATTCCACACAAGGAGGCATCAGCCCCAGGGTCTAAACAGAGAAAGAGAGTTACGAAAGAACTGTAAATAAGAAACATATTTTTTTTTAAATTATAAAGTTGAAGTGAGTGATTTGACTTTTGCAGGTTATTTAAAGCCAGGAAATATATTTAGATTATAAGAAGTTTTTGGAGATAATGATTTTACTGATACAAGTCCTACTAATTAATCCATAGCTAGGGGGGAAAAGAGGTGGATTCATACCTTTCCTTTTTTGCGCAGAAGTGAATTTAATGAAATTAACTTTAATTTGAACTAGATTCTTAGATTTCCAATTCCAAGCCATTAACCATTATAGCACCTGCACAACCAAGCTTACAGTACCTAGTATTCCCAAGTGTTCACCCATCTAGATACTGACCATGCTTGACATTGCTTAACTTTGGGATATATATGTTGTAACCTAGGGAAGGTTACTGAATAGAATAATCAAATGTTGGTTGGTAATGAACGATAATACTTAGGAGGTAAACAGCACGTATAAGTTTCGTCAACAACATGTAGAAATAGTAGTCAACTGCTAGAAGTGAGTCAAGGGAATGAATCTTCAACTGCAGACCAACATACAGTATTTACTACTGCATTTATGTGAATGGGAACATACCCATTATCGTCCGTGGGTATGCTACAACAATATATATATATATATATATATATATATATATATATATATATATATATATACAAATCATTTCAAATCTATATAATAAATGCAGATGTCACTGTGTTACACTTTTTTAACTCCTAGAGGCCACAGCCCAACATATCATACCATTTTGGAATCAGGCCAACTCTGTGAACAAATTAAAAACATTCCTAGAGGATCTGGACCCGCAATCCTGAAATTTTGGATTCCCAAGTTTTCATACTGCGATTGTTTTCTGCAATTTTTTTTGCACGATAATAATTGAAATTAATTGCGAAATCCAGTGAAAGTCACCCATGAAATAAAAATAATTGTATGGAAAGTAAGGACCTACATACACCAAAGTGTCTTTAAATTAAGTGGTGGCAAAAGAATTGTCATTGAACTTTTAAAAGGTAAGCTTAGATATTAATGCAATATATGAAGCAATCAATTTTAAGTTCTTCTGTCGTTTAATGTTGCCCATCGCATCTACTCCTCCCTATCTATTGTGATGGAGGTCCAATCAAGAGCCCTCTACAGGAGCTAGCTTAAATGCCACCTAATAGGGCAGCTTTCAAGCTAGTATATAATTAACTAATATTATTAATTTATTTAATTCGGAACTCAGCTCTCCAACTTTCAATTCTAAACCATTATCCATTATATCATCCGCACATCCAAGCTTACAGCACCTGGTATTCCCAAGCTGTCACCCATCAAGGTACTGACCAAGCTCGACGTTGCTTAACTTCAGTGATCATACGAGAACTGGTGTTTCCACATGATATTGCTGTAAGCCTATTTATACCACACACAATTCCAAGTTTACAACACCTTGTGTTTGCAAGCGGTCACCTATCAACCAAGCTCAATGTTGCTTAACTTTACTGATCATACAAGAATCGATATTATGTAATATAGCCGTAACCAATTCCATTGCATGCAGATGCAAACTCACCTGGCATTCCCAAGCAGTCACCCATCTACATACTGACCAGACTCGATGTTGTTTAACTTCAAATCTTCAACGTGATATGACCATAGGCCACAAAGTTGAAGGTGAAACATAATTTATAAGGAGAGATCATTCTTATGTCTGTACATCAACCTGGCTTGGCAAAGGAAGAAACACTGATAAGGATTACATGGGATATGAAGTTGTGAAGAGACATGATCGCTCACATCCTGAAGAGACATGGCACATAGAATTCTGATCATTGTGAAGTAATAGGTGAACACAATGATACTATACAAGTATGTGTGCGTGTTCCTTTCATTATAAAATGGGAAAAATAAGTATTTCACCCCTGCTGATTTTCTGAGTTTCAATAAAAAAGAAATAAATGTTCAAAAATTAATATAATGTGATTTTCTAGAATTTTTTTTTATATTCTAAGTCTCACTTTCAAGATGGACCTACCCTGAAAATTATAGACCGTTCCTATTTTTGTAACTCAGAAAATCAGCAGGGGATGAAATACTTATTTTCCCCACTGTTTATTGATTGATTGATTGATTGTTTTTTACGGCTTATCAACCCTTTGCAGGTTATTTAAAGCCAGAAGATATTTTTAGATTTTAAGAATATATTTTGACGATAATAATGCTTTGCAAGTGTTACTAATTTCTTCTTTAAATTTCTTTTGCTTAATCAGTAGATTGAGTGATTCATTCATTTTCTACGGTTTATCAACCCTTTTCAGGTTATTTAAAGCCAGAAAATATTTTTAGATTTTAAGAATATATTTTGACGATAATAATGCTTTGCAAGTGTTACTAATTTCTTCTTTAAATTTCTTTTGCTTAATCAGTAGATTGATTGATTGATTGTTTTTTACGGCTTATCAACCCTTTGCAGGTTATTTAAAGCCAGAAGATATTTTTAGATTGTATGAATTTTTGGAGATATAATAATGGTTTTAGTGAAACAAGTCTGACTAATTAACCCATAGCTGTAGGAGGAGAAGTGGACTTATACCTTTCTCAAGTATATACCCCCCCATAAGTGAATATAACCCAACTGGAATTGGAACTCTGCTCTCCGATTAACAATTCCAAGCCATTATCCATTACTCCAACCGGACAGCACCTGGTATTTCCAAGTGGTCACCCAACTAGGTAGAGACCAGGCTTGACATTGCTTAACTTTGGTGATTGTATGGGAGCCACCATTTTAACGCTATATGACCGTAAGCTTTCACTATGTATTGGAAATATTGACTAACCAATGGGAAACCAGAGTCCAGTGTCTCGAAGGTATGTGTTCAATGTTAGACGAGTCACCCCAGCCTGAACGGTTACGTCAAAATCTTCAGGATGCAGTGCTTCAATCTCTGTCATCTTGCTCAGATCCAAACAGATGCCACCCTGGAAAATTCAAAGGAAAATATGACAAAGGAAGTTTCCAGATGTTCTTGACTGGCTGGATGGAACAAAAGCAATTTTACATATAAATCTAATATAAAAAAAAAATATTATAAAATAACAAAAAAATTTTTTTTTAAATATAAACACAAGATAATCTAAATTAAATAATGAGCTCTAAATATAAAAACATAAAAAAATGGGAAATTCAAAAAAAGAAAAGACTGAAGGAAAAACTGAAAGAAAAAAAAGGAAAAAAAAAAGGAAAAAAAAGGAATAATTGAATAGATATCATATTACATTAGCACCCTTTTTTATTCAATAGTAGTGAAGACATGTAGAAGTAAAATGCAATACTTTGTGTAATTTAATCTCAAAGAGAACTGGGTAAAAAATGGTAAAAATGTATTGTAAAAGCCTTTTAAACTTTGTTTACCATTAGCCCAAATCAAAGATTTAAAATAAAAAAAAAGTAAAGAAATAAACAATGACAGCCAAATGAGACTGATTATTCTTATTTAAAAAATAAGTCAAAACAAAAATATTTTATAATTTTTTTGCGCTACAGTATGACATCTACCAACCATTTTCTACTATAGTATGACATTTACCAACTATTGGAAGTATGAAATATGTTAGGGTTATGATCAAAGGCAGTGAACAAGTTATGTATTAAAAATCATTAACAATTTTTTTTATACAAAAAAAAATTCATCAAATAGTGATTTTAATGTTTATAAACTAATTTGATGTCATTAAAAAAAAAACAAAAAAAAAACAGTAAATCAGTCATCATTTTTCCTGAGCATTTTCCAGCAATAATGAGTGCATTGTCATATATATATATATTATATATATATATATATAATGGACTCTCTCATCAGTTTTGACGTATGAGGATCTGACAACTTAACTGATTCAGTTATGAAATTTTGTATGATAATCTTAAGTGGCATTTAAGACCCGCTAGTGATTTACAAAGGAGGCTACATATGGAGCAAGTGTGAGGATTGTGAGATGAGATCACTGTTAGACTGGCTGACCTTTTAGATCTTGCTCTTGCTTCTTGAAGATGATTCAGACAAGCAGAGTGAAAATTGCTGAGTTCACTAAAACATGTTGATCTCCATTCTACCTGCTCCAAGGCTAAGTGCTCAAGGGTGTTATGTGGTATATTGACTGCAAAAAAAAGGTTGAAAGTTTTGTGGAACACCAGGAACCTCTCCTTGCAACTGTCAAACAGAGAAAATGGCATGATTTGGACACATTACAAGGTATGACAGTCTGTGCAAGACCATCATGCAAGGTACCAACGCAAAAACTGGTTGGACAATGTCAAAACATGGACAGGTATGACTGTACCAGAATTACTGATGACTGTTACAAAAGTCAAGGGGATGATGATGATAATGATATATACATACACACAATTTCCTCCATCCTTATAAAAACAAAGAAGAAATACATACCACATTTGCATTGATGCCACCTTCAAGGCCAGTTCCTGAACCAAATGGTACCAGTGGAATCCTGTGGTCATTGCAAAGTTTGGCTACAGCACTTACTTCTTCAGTGTTGTTGGCAAAGGCCACCAAATCTGGAGCATTCGACCTGATAACAAAAGTAAAAATATAGACATTAATGCACTGGGACATATTTCCCCACAGGTGGGTGGTGGGTTAATATTTCCAACCAAATTCTATTTTCAGTGGGACTAATCTCCTCATTTTTGCTGATAAGAGCCAAATGCCCATCATCTTACATGCAGAGAAAAGGAAGTTATAATGGAAATTTTCTTAATAGATTTATTAATAATAAAAATCAATTCAATAACTAAATTTATGTATTTAAATAATTTTGCTTTTTTTATTAAATATAATAATAATAAAACTTAATTCAACAAGAGATTAATCTGACTTTCAATTAAAATATTTTCTGGCTTTAAATAACCTACAAAAAATGATAAGCTGTAGAAAACAAATCAGACAATATTAATTTCTAATTTGCATAGTTTCGTTTTTAATGCTTGTGCATATAATTTTCAAGGGTTCCTTTTTTTAGGCTTTTACACATAATTTTCATGGGTTCGTTTTTTAGGCTTTATCATGCAACTTACATTTTTCTACACAAACTGGATGTTGACTGCTCAACAAACCAAAGCAGACTGCATAAATACATTTTCTACATCTAGGCTCCATGCACACAAATCAAACGAAGAATCTGTTGACCAGTCAGAGCTGCTCCAAAACCCAAAACTTTCACTCAGAGCCAAACAATGGTTATATATTCTCTAATTAAAACAAACCCAACACAGATCAACTTGGAGTTTAACACCGGCAAGCTGAGAGATGGGACACAAACCAGCCTTTATGTCAACACCAACACACTGAAAGAGAAATGGCACAGGCAACGACAGCTATCACCAATGTATATTTCACTTCTAATTTCATCATTCCCTCCCCCACCGTTGCCTTAGTAACAGCAACAGATAAAAGTTACTAGTTTTGTATGTATGTAAATAAATTATACATTTATTTGCCCATGCTCAAATATATTCTTTTTCCTTGAATTTATGTTTCCTGAGGTGGAGAAGGAAACCTCTACAACAGTAACAACAACAAGGTTCCATCTTCCAGGTTAACCATTTCTGTCTCCACAACAGCATTTGCACATAATTTTCATGGGTTTCTTTTTTAGGCGTTTTACGTAGAATTTTCATGGCTTCCCTTTTTAGGCTTTTTACGTAGAATTTTCATGGGTTACTTTTTTAGGCTTTTTACGTAGAATTTTCATGGCTTCCCCTTTTAGGCTTTTTACGTAGAATTTTCATGGCTTCCTCTTTTAGGCTTTTTACGTAGAATTTTCATGGGTTCCTTTTTTAGGCGTTTTACGTAGAATTTTCATAGCTTCCTTTTTAGGGCTTTTTACGTAGAATTTTCATGGGTTCCTTTTTTAGGCTTTTTACGTAGAATTTTCATGGCTTCCCTTTTAGGCTTTTTTACGTAGAATTTTCATGGCTTCCTTTTTTAGGCTTTTTACGTAGAATTTTCATGGGTTACTTTTTTAGGCTTTTTACGTAGAATTTTCATGGCTTCCTTTTTTAGGCTTTTTACGTAGAATTTTCATGGCTTCCTTTTTTAGGCTTTTTACGTAGAATTTTCATGGCTTCCATTTTAGGCTTTTTACGTAGAGTTTTCAAAGGTTCCTTTGTTAGGCTTTTTACGTAGAATTTTCATGGGTTCCTTTGTTAGGCTTTTTACGTAGAATTTTCATGGGTTACTTTTTTAGGCTTTTTACGTAGAATTTTCATGGGTTCCTTTTTTAGGCTTTTTACATAGAATTTTCATGGCTTCTTTTTTTAGGCTTTTTACGTAGAATCTTCATGGGTTCCTTTTTTAGGCTTTTTACGTAGAATTTTCATGCCTTCCTTTTTTAGGCTTTTTACGTAGAATTTTCATGGCTTCCCCTTTTAGGCTTTTTACGTAGAATTTCCATGGCTTCCTCTTTTAGGCTTTTTACGTAGAATTTTCATGGCTTCCTTTTTTATGCTTTTTCTGTAGAATTTTCAAGGGTTCCTTTGTTAGGCTTTTTACGTAGAATTTTCATGGGTTACTTTTTTAGGCTTTTTACGTAGAATTTTCATGGCTTCCTTTTTTAGGCTTTTTACGTAGAATTTTCATGGGTTCCTTTTTTAGGCTTTTTACGTAGAATTTTCATGAGTTCCTTTTTTAGGCTTTTTACGTAGAATTTTCATGAGTTACTTTTTTAGGCTTTTTACGTAAAATTTTTATGGGTTACTTTTTTAGGCTTTTCATGAAGAATTTTCATGGGTTCCTTTTTTAGGCTTTTTACGTAGAATTTTCATGGGTTACTTTTTTAGGCTTTTTACGTAAAATTTTCAAGGGATGCTTTTTCTTATTTTATACATACTTTTCCTTTTTATACATAGAATTTTGGAGGCTGTTAAGACTATATTGAAAATTGCAGAAATGAATTAGACAACGCTTTACACCATCCTGGGTAGGACAATAAACTACATCCAACAACAAGGCCTTTGTTTAGGAGTTTTTGAGGAACATGGAAGTACCTCTTAATTGCTGCTATTCCCAGGTCCACCCTGACCCAGGGTGGTAACACCAGTCAGGGTCCCAGCTATGGACAAATAGTTAACTCATACCCACAAAAGGGGTCAAAGGCACTATGAAAGTATAAAAATAGGTTTTAATACTAGCAATACTTTTTTGGGAAAATTATTATCAGCAATACATTTTTGAAAAAAGTTATTACTAGCAATACATATTTGGAAAAAAAAATATGACTAGCAATAACAATTTTGTCATATTAAATAACCCACTGAGGTTGGTATACTGTAAAATATATCAAACCAAACCAAGCAAAAGCTTTACAGGAACATTTAAAGTATGTGACCCAGTGAATACCAGAGGCTATTGAAAAGCCAGAATTCCCACCCTCCCCACTGTGTAAAAATTTAACTAGGCCCCAGTTTTATATTCTATGGATGCTATAAATTGGACTTCCATTTTACAGCAGATTTCCATGCTTCAATTTCAGAAGTTCTTGGAAATTAGATGTTTTCCAAAATGAAGGTCAAATTCCTTAACAAATTCCTTGACAGCAGATCAAACTACACAGACTAAAAATGCATTTTCATGTAAAAAAAATACTCTGGTTTTATGTTTACTCAGCCTCTGTGTCATATTTATAAGTCTACTTATTCACCCACGCTATGGACATTGCTGCCACATACAGTCTAATGATCCTGCTATATATTTAGAGTCTTGATAAAATGCAAAGAAGAATTGGCAATGTTATTAGCCCTGACCTGGCATCTCAGCTTCAGTCATTTTCACCACACATTTTCTATAAATACTCTTGTGGTAATCGTTCTCCATGGTACCTAGACTTTATGAATTTAAGTACAGTTCTAGATTTACAATAAAGTTCCATCAATTTATAGTCGCATCAGCTAGATGCAACTGTAAGTTCTATGCTAATAGTTTGTTCTTTCACACTTCTCGCTTGTGGAACTCTCTTCCGGCTCGATGCTTTCCAGCTAATTTCAATCCTCAAAAATTTAAATGCAATGCCAATCATTATCTTCTGTTTTCTTGATTCCTCTTCTTTTATTGTTCTTGCTCCTTAATAATGTTTTTATTTTTTCTCATTCTTCTACACTCAGTAACCCCTTGTGTCCTAGTGACTTTACTGCAATGAAATGAATAAAAAATATACATATCTTATGAATGTTACATATAACTACTGCAGTTACTGGCAAGACAAAAACTATTAATAATAATAATAATAATAATAATAATAATAATAACAACAACAACAGAAATTGCAATATGAGCTCTGGTAAAAACTAGTTGCTGAAGACATTAGGTTTATAACACCCAGAAATTCATACACAGATGTCCTCAAAGCACAGTGGATAAAGGCGTTGGTTAGACAAGACCCAAAGAGTGTGAGTTCAATACCCGGTTAAGGCAGTGGAGAACTTGGAGAGGGGATTTAACAGGAGATAATTGATAACTGACATCCATTAAACATGGCATGTGGAACTAGAACAGTCTACCCCAGTGAGTGAAATAAAGCGTTCAGTTTGACGTTCCAACCACCGGAGACGGAGCATACAACAGCCAAAGTGTTGTAATAAATATGGCGACAAAGATGAGGACAATAGTCTGGATAATGTAAATAGTGTACATAATACCTCATCTCAAAAATATAGACAGATACTGAAAGGCTGAAACATTGTAATAAATATGGCGACAAAGATGAGGACAATAGTCCGGATAATGTAAATAGTGTACATAATACCTCATCTCAGAAATATAGACAGATACTGAAAGGCTGAGACGTAATAAATATGGCGACAAAGATGAGGACAATAGTCCGGATAATGTAAATAGTGTACATAATACCTCATCTTAGAAATATAGACAAATAAAGAAACTATTAATTTAACAGAATTTTTAAAGAAAACAGTTGGCCATTTCAGGACAAATTTGTCTGCTAAAATTTATGTCAGATATTCAAATCCTCAAAACATGCTGAAAGCACCAGTTCTTGTTCAATCAGTGAAGTAGTGTTTAGTCCAGTCATTACTTAAATGGGGAGAGGGACTTGGTAACACAGGTACTCCATCTTACAAGTGATATGTAAATGAATAGATTCATACTTTTCATATAAAATAGACATACAAAAAAAGAAAACTTACTTATGGTATGACTCATCATGGCCGTGTTGCTCTCGAACAGCAAGAGCTGTGCTTACATTTCCTTTACCCACAATACTTGTTAATGTTTCAACGAAATGACTTGAAAACTTTTCTTTGACTGCTGTAGCCTGTAAAGAACAATTAGAGATTAAAGAAAGAGAAAAAGAGAAAAAAGAGAGAGTGAGAAAACAGGGGAAAAGAGAAGATGAGATAGAAAAGACAAAAAATAAGTAAAAATGAGAAAATTAATGAGAAAATTAAAGAAAAAGAGAAAAGGAAAAAAAAATTTTGCCAGCAGATGAAACAAATTTTACAATTATTAATTTTTGACTAGGATTTACTTTCATCTTCATTTTTTATTAGATGAATCATTGTCAGCCATTATTATTAATTTTTGACTAGGATTTGATTTCATCTTCAATTTTATTAAATGAAGCATTGTCAGCCATTATTATTAATTTTTGACTAGGATTTGATTTCATCTTCAATTTTATTAAATGAAGCATTGTCAGCCATTATTATTAATTTTTGACTAGTATTTACTTTCATTTTCATTTTTTTATTAGATGAATCATTGTCAGCCATTGTTATTAATTTTTGACTAGGATTTGATTTCATCTTCAATTTTATTAAATGAAGCATTGTCAGCCATTATTATTAATTTTTGACTAGGATTTGATTTCATCTTCAATTTTATTAAATGAAGCATTGTCAGCCATTATTATTAATTTTTGACTGAAACTAGCATTTACTTTCATCTTCATTTTTTTATTAGATGAAGCATTGTCAGCCATTGTTATTAATTTTTGATGAGTATTTACTTTCATCTTTATTAATTGAAGCATTGTCAGCCATTATTATTCATTTTTGACTCTTATTTATTTTTATTTTCATTTTCTTTATTTGATCAAACATAGTCAATTATGATTAATAATTTTTGACTAGGATTTACTTTCTTCTGAAATTTTAAACTTATATAACTTGACAGCACAGGATTAAAATAAAAGGATAATCACTCAATAAGATTCCAATTTATGTATTTTTTTGTCGTATAATCACCCAACTGCTTTAGCCACTAAGCTACCAGAACTTGGTACTTTGCAAAATACAAAATATACAGTATCACATAACAATCCAGCATTTGTATGCAATATCCATCCTTTTATATGGTAGCAAATGCTCCCCATGGATGAAGAGAAAACTGAGGTCAACAGAAGGATATTGAAAATCCTATGGACAGAGTGAGTAAGCAATGTGGAAGTATTAAAGAAAATGTTAAAAGAACACTTATAATAAGGAGGCATGGTGGAGTAAGATATAGCGGCTCGGATTGAGGAATCAGAGAGCCGAGTTCGAATTCAGTCGAATCCATTACATTCACTTACATGCTAATACCATTGGGAAAGGTGTGAATCCTCTTTCTCCTCCTCCCAGTTATGGGTAAATAGCAGGACAGATTGGGTTCTATAGCCTTGGATGGTAACTGGTCTACCACAGAAAGAAATGGCAACCTACTGCAGAAAAAAAAAAAAAAAAAAAAAAATCGGCCTTGTCAGTTACGTATCGAAAGATGCATGATTGTCTAAGCATGTATCATGCATGGCACATAACTGAACTGATACCAGGGTCAGATTGTGAACTTTTCTGGCCCCTAAACTAATAAAGTTATGCACCTGCTTCAGACAGAGCTGCTCTATAACTCTCCCACACCCATCTTGAATATGTTTTTACTCGTGATATTTTTTAGCAACATTTACATAGCTTGAAGAAAACTTATTACAAATTCTTTAAAACCAGAACAGCCATCTGTTGTTTGTCAATAAAAAATATTCTTTAACAATATACACCCCCCCACCTTTTACCATAATTTTGCTATTTACTGCAAACTATATCAGTACATATTTCAACACAACCATAGCAAAAAAAGAACAAAGAAAACAGAAACGAAAAAAACACAAACTTTTTATAACTAGCATTATGACCAAACTTGAGGGGCACTGTGCCTGATGCAGCCTATAGGATAATCCAACCCTGGGCCAATGCAGCAGCCTATACTAGCCTAAAGGATAATCCAGGCCTGACTGATACTAAGAATCAGAAGGAAACAGCTGAAATTTTTTGTTTGGAAAACTTAACCCTTGCAAAGCAAATTAAGTGGGAGAGAGATAGCAGAAGCTAGTGTGCTGCCTAACTGACAGACTTGTGTGAATGGATGGCTGAATAGGAGTGGGGGGAGATGGCTTTAAAAAGAGAAGAAAAACTGCTATGAGCCACAGAGGACAGAACGTTGTGGAGAGCCACAATCTCCCATGTCTTGAAGGGACATGGCACATTGAAGAAGAATTAGTTTTATTTTTTTTATATATTTTCTGATAATGCTGAGAATACCACAGATCAAACATATTAGTGACAACAAAATTTTAGAGAAAATGAAAATAAAAGGGAAACATACTTAACGTCAGGAAGAAACAGAGAAATTTCTGGAACACTGATATAGATTAATGGTCTCGGTTAAGTTGTGTTAAAAAGGAACAAAAAAAGAAAGATGAAAGGAAATAGGTAAAAATTGATATATTGTTTCAAGTTGTGATGTTGACAAACATAGGTTCAATAACATGAAATAGACTTTGATATAACAAGTTTCTTATCACGTTTTTTTTTCTTTTTAACTTTGATAATATTTATAGTAATAAGAAATCATGGCAAACTTGGGACCTTTGTGCCCACAACAAAATAGGCGTGCCAAAGGGATGGTTTTTCTCTTGACCCTGTTATTATTTTAACTACTTTCACTCCTCGGCAATGTTTATTCTATTAAAAATGTGATGAGTAGAATTGTAATAAAACTAGGCACCTCCACAAGATCGCTAAAAAAAATGAGTATAGCATGATGAAAAAGATGCCAAACTTGACAAAAACAAAATTTTATCGTCTAAATGTTTATGTTATTATTAAGAGGAAAGATCAAAGTATTTTGGGAGGTATTTTTTTCACATTTTTTAATCGTTCCTAGCACATCCAAAATTTTTGTTAAAAATCTTTTTTTTTTTTTTTTGAGACAGCAAAATTGACAGATTTCAAACATTTTTTTCCATTTTATAAAAAACATGAAAATATCACTTTGAAATTCTTTTAAATATCAATTATCATTTTTAAAAAACTTATTTTAAGAAAATCAGAAATTATAATGTTTATTTAAAATATTTTGAACCAAGCTTAACTTAGCTTCTGCGCCAAAAAGATGTAATTTGAAAATAAAACAAAGCAGGTCATAAACTTTAGCGTCACTTGGCAGGTGATGAATAACATATTGATGGATTCCGTGAGGATAATTTGTTCTACAGAAGGAGAAAAGTGAAATTATTTACATTTAAGTGAACAAATTATTTACCTCGTTATTTTTAAGGAAAACTTTCAGCGCTCTAATTTTTTTTGTACTTAGCTTTCACCTTTACGTTTACGATGCTTTATTGAAAATATATTCTAAAGAAATTAAAATAAGACTGTTAATAGTGAGATTAAATTTCATAAGAAAAAGTTATCTAATTAATTTATAGGTACCTTTCTCATGAAATTTTATCAGAAGTGTACATAAAATACGATAATTTTATGTACATTTATTACATTTTACTGTGTTATTTGTATTTCCATTCATTTTATTATTAATTTTGATATTTCATTTATGGAAAAATGCCATAACTGAGATTAATATAAAAATAAGATCATATAAATTTCATAAGATGATACTGATACTTGTAGGTACCCTTCTCAGCAGAAATTAAAAAATCAAATTAACTTCTCCACACAAGTTTCACAAAAGTAAAGGCCTTTACAGCAAAGAGCAATGCTTAACTCAAATAAATCAACTTAATTGTATTCTGGTTGGTCTTCCGTACTTTATAATTACAGCTCGATTATTAACACAAAATTACATTTCTTAATTACTGTGGATCTTCTGATTAGTCAAAATGATACAATTTACAACGCGCTAAAAAAAGATCTATCTCATAAGGAGACTTAGGAAACCTGATGCGGCTTTTAACTAATTTTATAATATTTTAACAACTTAAATGTAAAAATCAATTATAATTAAAAAGTAACAAATAATTATATTAAAAATTCATTTTTCATCAAAAATCTTTTTTACTTTCAGAAAATATTGTCCATATTCATAAAAACAGCTAAAAGCAAATAAAAGCATTTGAAATTAAATAATATATTTGTTTTATTACAATTATTTGTTACAATTCAGAGCTGATTTTCAGGTGGTGGTGGTGGAGGGGGGCAATTAACCCCCCCCCCCAACATGATTTGTATTCTTCAAAACCTTGTGCTTTTAACTATTCTAATCACTAAACCTGACGCGATCGAATTTCTAGCATTTTCATAAAATTAGTTATGGTGGGAGTAATAACTTTAAAAAAAAAATATTTCTGCCATGACTTTAATAAATAAAAAAAAGAAAAAAAGAAAAAAAAAAAAACATATAATAATTTCCATCATCTGTGAACAGTTTCTGGAAGTTTCATTAACATCCGACAATTGTTTTTATTTTTGCAAGATTCTCCAAATTAATGTGCATCATACAAAAAAACTTGCGAAAAATTGTATATGCTATTTTACCAGTTCCGGTGGTACAAAGGGAAAAAAAGTTTTTTTTAATTCAAACTTAGAATGTTCTAAAAGAAGGAAAAATTTTTAAAAATAATTAAAATAAACTTTGATCTTTCCTCTTAATAATAACATAAGCATTTAGACGATAAAATTTTGTTTTCATCAAGTTTGGTGTCTTTTTCATCATGCTATGCTCTTTTTTAGCGATCTCATGGAGGTACCTAAATAAAACCTAAACGTGCGATGAAAGTGAACCTATGCATTTTTGTTCTTGAGAATTTACAACAAAAATATTAAATACTATTAGACTGTTTATTTACAAGAATAATTTTATGTTTACAGCATTTCAAAAAACTAATACAATGCAATATTTATCATTTATTAATTTATAAATAAATAAATATGAAAAATATTTTATTCATAAATTTATAAACATTTCAAAAAACTAATACAATGCAATATTTATCATTTATTAATTTATAAATAAATAAATATGAAAAATATTTTATTCATA